ACTCAAGCCAGAAGGGCTCTTGTACATACTTCATATTTAAGCAACTGTCTCTGTAAAACTGTGATGCAGTTATTTGAACAGTCCTTGTATTATTAACGCTGCTGTGGCCATGTACTACGTGATCTCATAAATGAAGATATCTACGTGATCTCATAAATGAAGATAGCAGTTATCTATTAACTCTTAATCAGTATTGGTGGTTGTGTGTAGTGTTGCCTGTGGGTCTCAATTTTTAAGCTATGGTTTTCAGCCTATGTGTGGGCAGTACACAGAATTGTATGGGTACGTGCATACACACTAAAAACTATTGACAGTGGCTTAGAGTCTCTAAGCTGCGTGCTGAGAACACAAACCATGGGCACACTGATTGATGTAGAGGTCAGTGAGTGGATGTGTAAACGTAACTGTACACCAGCAGTGCTGATTGCACAGTGCAGTAAATCTGACATGTTTAAGTCTTGTGTTCTGAAATGTTACACATTACAGACCTCTGCAGCCCCAGAAATGTGCTGAAGATGACTGTGTGATGTAGCCCAGTGATAAACTTGAGGCTGAATGCCAGCATTTCAAAATGGTACTGTGCTTTAGCATGTGACTTTATCAGAGGTGCCAAAGGAATAATTTGTTCTGTGGTAAGAAAAGAGACAAGTAGAAACAGCATGAGAGCTCATCTTGCAGAAGAAGGTATGGAAATATTCAGGTGCAGCAGTGGGGAAAAAAAAATAAATTATAGCAGTACCTGGGAGGTGAGCAGCAGTGCCACTGACGGCAGCACGCTGCAGTGAGATGGGTTTTGATGAGTGCCAGCACAACTTAATACATCCTCAGCAAAATCCTGCAGCAAAAGTGAAAAGTGGCAAATAACTAGTCAGGTTAGAGAGCTTTTTGAGCTCAGTATATGAACAGGGTGTATGTAAGTTGTGAATTGCTCTGTACTTCATCCCTATGTCAGGAGGTATTTCACAATGGATCAAAGATTTACTCTGGGGTTTGGGTTTGTAAGTGTGTGGTTTGCTTTTTTTTTTTTTCTTCTAGGTGAGTTAGGTGAATAAATTCTGAAGGTGTCCTCAGATACAGATCTGCCTTTTGGAGAAGCAATATTTAGTAGCAGTGTAACTCCAGGTGCCAGAGAGATTTGCACAGAACATTAAAACATCCTTGTCTTATTGTGACCAATTCTATTATCTCTGTTCGTTTTTTATAAAGATGAGAATTTAAATATAGCTGCATCCTTTTTATTTCTGTGCCAAAGATAAAGAACATCCTTTACTAAGTATTTTTTTTTCCTCTCTTGGGTTGTTTCTGTGTTGTATTGCACAGCTGTTACATTGCTGAAATTACGATTACTTTTTTTCAGGGCAGAATATGGCTGTACTAAAAAAATCAACAACCACACTTCAGGATTAAATGAAAATAGGGGGCCGTGGAGGTGAACTAGCACTGTGAGAAAAGACATGGGTAATAGAGATCTTATTTGGACTAAGTTCAAAATTTGCCAACCCCTGCGGCAGGAGGAGGGCAGGGCTGGTATCTGTGTTGTGCTGAAGGAACCCATCACCTCGGATTGCCTTTAGTTTCTGTCTGCTAGTGCCCGAAAGCCTGAGGAGCTCTTAAGGAGTCAGTCTTTGTCCTTACAGCTCGTGACCTCAGCTAGGCCCAGGCTGGCTTTGTGGGTTATGAGGTAGTGGCAACTCTTCCTTGTATTTCATTCTGCCTCCAGACCCACCATTCTAACACTTGAATTTGGATGGGGCTGTGCATAAGAATGCAGGGAGGTGTTTGATTGATTTGCAGCTCTCTTGCTTTGAAACTGTCAGACAGATAGGAGCTGCTACTGCCACCATGTCCGAAGGTAAATGCGTGTTTTCACCACTTTGAGTGGCTTGTATAGAATGCTTGGAGTATTTATGGGGTAGTGGAAGTGCTGCATGACAGTTCTGATTGAGACGTTAAGTCTGAGTAATCAAGATTAAAAGGTAGAGTATGGGAAAGGGGAGTAGCAGCAGCTACTTTAGATACTTCAGCATAGTCAGAAGTGGTTAAAGCTGAAGATGTGTAGATACATACTTTGTGTGTATGCTTGTGATTGTAAGTAGACTTGTTTCATTTGGACTCTGTCATCCTTGCAGGTCCTTTCCAACTCAGGAAATTCTGGAAGTCTAAAAGTACACGCAAGAGTTTTAAAGCTGAAGTGTATGGTGGGCTGTGTGCCCTTTGTCTTAGGCTAGAAGAATTCCTTCTGGAAATAAAATACTAATACATAATTAGCAGTTTTGTAAGGCGTCCTTGTGACATCTGCTAAGGGTTCTGGTGGCTGTTCTGTGGCAGTGTGTAAGACAGAAAAAGTTAACTTGATTCCAAAACGTAAAAATGATGTGAGAATTCAGCAAAGTATTTTTTGTACATTACAAAGGAAGAAACTTAAAACTGTCTTTTCATTGCCTTATTTTTTAGGTAATATTTCAGTAATCACACTACCAGTTTCCAGTACCAACTCCCCAACAAAGATATTGCCAAAAACCTTAGGACCAATCAATGTGAATGTTGGACCCCAAATGGTAAGTTTTGCGATGACAGAACATGAACTCATGTAACTAGATATATAACTCCCATTCAAGTAATATGGAAACATGGAAAAAGTGAAGATGTGGGCCTCGCTAGAACATACAGACTTAGGTGTAAGCCTGAAGTATCCCACATGGTTGGGAAGGTGATGACATGCAGATACAGCAATCTGGGCATGCCAGGATTACTGCTCCATAATTATTTATAAATTTATTATCTAAATATATCGGATTATCTTTCTGGCTCTGACTGGAAATTGAAACAACTTCACCAGCTGACATTTCCACTGAGTCAAAAGCATATTAAGAAAAAAAAATTACCAGGAATATTAATGATACTCTCTGAATATTTTGAGCACAATAAATAATTGCCAAGAATAGAAGAAAGCAGTCAGTTAATGCAGTTCCCTCTTATTACCACATTCTGCTCAAGGCACTGGTTTTCTAAAATCACCCTTAGTTACAGGTAAGTTCTATAGCAGGTGGAAGGGGTGTAAGTTACTACATGGTAGGAGACTTGTAATTTTGTTTCACTCTCCTGTTCTGCTGAAAGTTAGATTTGAAAATCTTGCCTGGTCTGACTCTGCTCTGTGATGCTGTTCTCCATTGGACTGCCACAAGTGGTCACTTACAAGCTCCACTTCAGTATTTCTGGTACAAATTCTGTCACTAGTTGGTGACAGCCAGTCCAGCATTTGAATCTCTGATGGGTTGTAGGAAAAAGGAAAAAGTTTTGGTGTAGGTGCACAGCTGCATGTTTTCAGATTTCTGTACAGCAAAGTAAACAACAGCAGTGAATATCAGTACTCGACATATTGTAATCTGTCAATGCTCTCAGGTTGGCGATAGCTCTTCTCTATAAATGTCTATTTCCACTAGATGGCACCATGATATAGAAAGAAATGTCAGTCTTTAAAATACACAAACATGATTTTGTACCTCAATTTATTATACTGGTTGTCAAAATTATAAGGACATAAAATATTCTTTTTATGATACATCTTCTTTTGGATTTAAATGACATCAGTAGAGCAGTGTGAAACCTATGAGTGGGTGAAACGTGAACAAAGGAATTTCAGTATGCAAAACACTTAAAATCTTTTCTTTCTGACATGTCTGCCACGTGCTGGCAGAGCCGTATATGCTCACTTCTTTTCCCACTTGTCCCTCTCTGTCAAGCCTAACTGTAACACAAAGGATAAATAAGATAAAATTTGTTTATTCAGATAAAAGAAATACATAAATGTAATTATAGTTTGGTTTTAGGTGGGATGTAAAGTACTGCTTAGTGAATTAAAGAAGCTGGAAATTCTTCAGATAATGTTTTTCTTTTCTTCTAGTTGCTTGAACAATATGAATGGACACCAAATAAAGTGTCTGCCATGTGCTACTTATATGGGCATTGAAGTAGTAAGGGAAAGGACTAAGTTTAACACATTTGTTTCTCAACATATCGCTAAAAGCGAAATAAAGTTTAAAAATAAGTTATATGAGTAAAAAGCATTCTCCAAGAAGCTTTTGTATAATTGGAATAAAAGAAATTTTAACATTTTTATTTTAGTGATTAACTAATAATACTGTCCCATTTTTAAATGCTATCTACATTCTACTGGCAACCTGTGTTAAAGAATTAACTTAGATGTGAATTAGCAGTTGAGAGCGAGTGCTTTACTGCTAACAACCACTGTGCATTGAATTTCAACAGCTTTGAATCAATGTATTGTAAATTCTTTTTCTACAGTATAGACTTCACATGTACTTTCACAGATACGAGCTTGTACTCCTAGCTTGTTAGAGGGCCTGGAGGTCTTGTGAATGCTGTGAACTGCAGGGAATAATTGAGAGGGATCTCAGATTATCTTTGGTACCAAATGCAGATAGTTAAAAGAGACAAACCCATTGGGAATGAGGCTTTTCTGATTCCAGTAATCGACAAATTACCTAGATTCACTCTGGAAGAAACAATCAGATACATATAGGTACAAATCTTATATGCTCCAGCTAATAATTATTTCTGTTGTCTAGTTCTTGTTCATAAAAGTAATGCAGTAATAAGATGCAAGAAGCAGAGGTTTACCAATACTGTAATTACTGTCCTGTGTGAAGATCTAATGACACCTCTTCTGTGTATCTTATTTTCAACTTATATCTGATTTACATCTGTGCATCCTTCATATGAATTCTAGGATATGTTAACCTGTTTTATCAAAGATGTGCTTTTTGTTGATATTTTATTTCTTTATTAATTTCAATTTCTAAATTTTGTAGATAATAAGCACATCACAAAGACTGACCAATTCAGGGGGTGTTCTGATTGGGAGTCCATATAACCCAGCTCCAACGATGGTGACGCAGACGCACATAACAGAAGCTACTGGTTGGATTCCAGGGTAAGATCCTGGCTTATTTACACACGACAGATTACAAAAATCAGTATCTGTTATGATTTTTTTTTCTTCCTTTATTTATGCTATTTTTGCGATATGTTAGCTCACAGCTTCTAGTTCTTCCACAGTTGAAAAGAATACAGTCCTTAGCATATGAAGTGCTTATGTCTTAAGCATGTGAACACAGAGTTACACACACTAGTTGCTTCGCTGTTTGTTTTAACTTTGTTGTATGGCAATGTCTGTTCCTGTGTGCCAGTGGAAACAGGTGTGCAGTTGTTAAGGTTGGTTTTCCTGCTGGCTGTTTATCTCCTCAAATAGCTTTTTCATTCACTCAGTAAGCACCATGGACAGGGATTGCTGCTGTTGCTGCTAGGAAGATGCTGGAGGTGGGATTAGTCAGACTGAAGGTTCTGAATTGCACAGCCTGACACATGCAGGCTTTCACAGCATCTTCAGAGCCATCATTTTAGTTCAGCTCTCTTCATTAACACAGTCAGCTTTTTAGCTGGTGTGTATCTGCTGTGAGACTGCTTTGGAATAACAGGGTAGCAACATGAAGTACTATGCTATGACAGTTCCCAAACGCTGTATGTTACCAGCTGCAAGAGTAAGAGACAAGGTTGGAATAAAACTTCTGAAATCTTCAAGATGCAGCTAATAAACAGAACTATAAGGAAACTGGCAATGATTAGCAGCTACTACTCCTGTGCTAAGCTCATGTCAGAAGCTACTTCAGAGTACTGCTCTGCTATGATAGTGTCAGCTCTAATATGTACATGTGTTTATAGTTTGTGTGTTGTTTTTTGCTTAAAGATACCAAAACATTCAGTATCAAGTAAATATAGGATCTGTTTTCTGCAATGTTTGAAAGCACTTTCCTCCATATAGGGCATTTGTAAATAGGAATTTTCAAAGGAGTCCAAGTTCTCCTTTTGGAAGATATTTGGTTATCTAGCTTATATCAATGTTTCCTGTTTCATAGAATCATAGAATGGCCTGGGTTGAAAAGGACCTCAAAGGTGATCTAGTTTCAACTCCCCTGCTGTGAGCAGGGTCACCAGCCACTGGACCAGGCTGTCCAGAGCCACATCCAGGTTGTAGTTCCAGATAAAGTCAGTTCCATAAAAGCATAAGGCTAGAACATGGTAAAATTGGGAACAAAACTTGTATTTCTTACCTGTCTGACAGTGGACTCAGACAACATCCAAAGTCATCATCTTTTTCTTTCAAATTCAGTCAAACCGTGTGCTGTTGTCTTCCTTAAGCACTGAACAACACATTATTTAGCTAGACACCAAATACATTGATTTTATTGATCAAAGAAATGTTATTTTAACATAAGTAACCTTGAATTGTCTTCTCCTAGGGAAAGAAAGAGAACTCGAGAATTTATAGAATCAGATTTTTCAGAAAGGTGAGTATTACTGAACTTACATTTTATTTTGCTGCTTTAAATCTGCCCTTCAGAGCACTGCCTGGCTGATTCCCACTTCAGTGAGTTTTCACTTCCCCCATTAAAAGCTGCACAGTGTGTTTATTCTTTGTAGTTATAATTGTTACTTTTTGCTGTATCACTTTCTAATATTAACATTTACTTATTATTTATATTTACTTCTGATGTATTTACATTTACTGCTACAGACCAAATTGGAGTTAAGAAAGAGAGAGAAAATCACATCTTCGGAAACAAGATTTTCAGTTTGCTTTCTCAGCTTTCAGTGGGACAAATACCTGTAACCAGATAGCTGGTTTTTGCTTCCAAAACTACATGGAATGCACTCAACTTGTTTTCTTTGTTTGCCTATCAGTGATGGCTCAAATAATGCACAGGTTTTAAGAGGATTTTCTGTTTGTTTGTTTTGCTTTGTTGTTGTTTTTTTTTAATCTTCTGCTGTTCTTTTCTGCTTTTTCTTCTGTCATTTTTTGTATTATATTTTCTTTAAATACATTCAAAAATTTCAAAAGCATTCCTATGTTTTTATGTTTTTCTTAGCCTTTTACAGTTGCTGTAGCTAAGTCTACCTCTGTAAAATAACAACTCTCCCTGAAACTATCAATCAAATCAACTTCTATAGCTGTAGTTTTTTAAAAAAGAAATTCCACTGAGAATTTGAAATGCATGCAAGTAATTCCAGTGTTTTCATTAAGAAATGCAAAGGCAAAAGGTTTTTTTTAATGTGAGTCTTGCATATTATTAGGTTATGTTATATTAGTATTTTTGCTTCCGAGTGTCTGTAATCCTGTTAGTCAAGAATGAAGTAAGATTTGCAGTCTTGCTCAAGCATATTTTGTAAACTTACTGACATTTGTCATGTTGTCTCTGAAGAACATTTAATTAAAAAGCAAATCAAAGCATGTACAATTGTAATAGCTAGATTTAAAAATTGATCTGAGAAAATACAGTGAAATTGTGTATGCAACAGGAAATAAAATAACCTTTGTAGATTAAAACTTAACTTATTAATATAAAATTTAGAGAATCAGTGAAAATAACTGGGCTTCTAAAAGTGAGGTATTTTGAAACAAAAAACATCCTAGCCTAGGGAGAGCTGAGTGCTCCAGCATTGGCTTCAGTTGAAAACTTCCATAGGGGAGCAGCTGACAGTGGGGAAAAAGCAGGAACTGGATTTTGAGTCATGTAAGAATCTGCCAGGAGTGCACAGTGCTGCACACCTCAAGTACAGGGCCACTCTTACTCTATTCTATTTCCTGTTTTTCCCTTTACTATAAGCTTAAGCTCTTGGGTTTTCTTTTTACTCTTGCAAAAGCTAGACATTTTGCTGCATAACAAAGTAATCTTATTAAATTTCAATTTATAAAAATGATTATTTTTCTCCTTACAGTAAAAGAAGCAAAAAAGGAGACAAAAATGGGAAAGGTCTGAGGCACTTCTCCATGAAAGTATGTGAAAAAGTTCAGCGTAAAGGAACAACTTCATACAATGAAGTTGCTGATGAGCTGGTATCAGAATTCACAAATTCCAACAGCCACCTAGCTGCGGATTCGGTAAGCAAATGTGGGGGCATTTTTTTTCTACCACTATAAAATTGGCTGGTTTATGAAACAATTGCTCTGCCTGCCGGCTTTGCACTATCCTGACACATCCCATGGTTTCCCTCAGTTAACTATCTCGTAAATGTGACTTACTCTTACATTATTTATATATCAAATTTCTTTTTAAAATACAGAATTAAAACTGAGAAATATGGTCTCTCTAAATTATAAACGAAATAGAGAAGTCTGACCAAAAAAAAAATCACCGAAGACTGTTTTATCCACCACACGTGGTCTTGTCATGCTTTTCACCTGTACCAGACTTGCTGTGATGGCCACTGCTGCTCAGAGGCTTCACGGAGGTCGTAAACTTTCCTTTGTGAACAGACGTGCTTGGATGTGATAGCCAAGCAGATGACAGTATTGTTTTACTGTCACTCTGACTTAAAACTGCTCTTTTTGTCCTTTAGCTATGAAGAATGTGTTTCTTGGTGGGTTGGTTGGGTTTTTGTGGGGTTTTTTTGAATGTTTTAATTGTTATCAGTGCTGCATTGGTCTCTTAGCAGGCTTATGATCAGAAAAATATTAGACGGAGAGTTTATGATGCCCTTAATGTGTTGATGGCGATGAACATAATTTCAAAGGAGAAAAAGGAAATCCGATGGATTGGCCTTCCTACAAACTCAGCTCAGGAATGTCAGAATCTAGAGGTAAAGTGAGGTTGATGCAAACTTCTGTATAGTTCATAAGTCATTATAATGGAGGTGCTGTAATTCAAAAGAGGTTTCTTTTCCCCACCATTTGAACCTGACTGGTTTTCATTCTTGCACAGTATGAAAAAACACCTTTAGGTATTTGACTAAACTGAAACAATGTGTTTGTGTGCCTGGTTTTGTTTTATTTAGTGTAACTTACACAAGTTTCAAAAACTGTTTACTTTGCAAATATTCATTTGTTGTATCAGGGATAATTTTTAAGAGTTACTCTGTAGTAACCCAAAGTAAACAGGAAAGTAAAAAAAAAAAAAAAAAACAAAACTTGTCAGTATAACTGACAGCATAACTGGCACTATACAACACAAAGTTGTATACACAGTTGAAGAGAGACCTATTTTGCTATTCTGTGCGTGCTTGGAGGGACTACTAAATGGAAAAATAATTTTCACTAGGATGTCAAATACTAATTGTGAGCTAGCAGGAAAAAAAGTTTTCCTTATTGCTTATTTCCATTGTTTTTTTTCAGCAGGCTAAGAGTTACCATGTTTTTGCAGGCCAGAATTTATATGCACAAATGTTGCTTCTGCTTCAGGCCAAACATTCCATAAATATAAAAGGTTATTGCATTTGCTGCAAAATCCCACTGCAGCTATCTGTAAATACATCTTAACGTGCATTGCATTTGTAATACTTGTGACATTAGCTGTCCTAAAAGGGGAGGGAAGTAGTCTGTCCAGTACAGGACAGCTTTTTCTTCAGGTTATATTTATCGTCTTTCTCAATACAATAAGAAAAAAGCTTTTAATATTTTGGCTATTACAGCAACTTGGAAAATTCGTCTTCTCAAGGATTATGCTTTGCAAATAATATGAGATGATAATAAAATAAAAAGCATTGTAAATGGGGAATGTAATCAGTCCAGGTAAGTTTTAATATATTGTTTCAGTTGAATGGAGAAGTAGTTGAAAGCTGAGAACAGTGGCAAAGCTGGCATCAGCAAGATAATGAGGAAAAATACCTTTTGAAGCATGATGGCTACTGCCCATCTTGTTAGTGTTTTCCCAGAGCACTGTTCGGTTACAGCTGCAGTGTCAGTAAGCATTCATTACTATTACTGACCTAAACACTGCATTTTTAGGTTGAAGACAACTTTGTATTGTAAATTTAACTGTTACAAGAAACAGGTGATGTACCAATGGAAAAAACATTACCGCTGACTCTCTTTGCTTCTGAAATGTCATTATTTCCATCAAGTCTCAGGTGAATAGTCCAAACAAAGAGTGGAAGTGCCTGGAAAGATGCAGATGATGACATTTTTATCTGGTAACTTACATCTGGGAGAAGAGTGGAAAGGACGCACAATTAAAAAGAATGCAGGGCAAGAGGTGAAAAAAAAATGCAAAGCACCCCCTCAAGTATTTTTTTGGTGCTAATCAGCACTCAGTGAACAGTACAGAAGAGCAGGAATGGGTGAAGAGATACAGCCTCGTAGGGGCTTTTACTGAAGGTAAAACTGTTGACAGGGGAAGACGCTGTGGTTTCTCAGTCCTGTCTTTTAAAAATACTCATGAGACAACATGATTTGTCTGAAAAAAACAAGACAAGGTAAAATAAGGTAAATATAAGGTATATATAGTAAATGGGTAGGGCTGAAAAGATTTGAAATTTGCTTACTGTACCCTGGAATTCACCACTTAGTAATAAAAAGGAGTCTTTTTTGTAAAGGTGTTCAGCACATTAATGTCACTGTAAAACCTGTTCCATCTGGCACAATGAAGCAGAAAGGTAACTAATTAATTATGATGCATTTGTGTTTTAAGATAGAAAAACAGAAGCGGATTGAACGGATAAAAGAGAAACGAGCCCAGCTACAGGAACTGCTGCTGCAGGTATGTGTTTGATTATCTTAATATAAATGAAATTAACCAGTAAGAATCCAATGCATTAGAACCTCTTAAATTATTCAGCTATGATATATACTAGGGAGGAAAAGTTTCATACTTAAGATCTTTCAAGTTGGTAACTTGGGAACCTCTTACGCTGAAACCCTGGTTCCTTTTTATCTATTCTAAAGCAATGTGCTGCATCTGTGTGCCACAGCCATTTTGTAAAGGTTCTGCTGAAACTACAAGCATTAGTGAAAATTGGAACAACTCCAAGCCCCGAGTTACCTTCTCTGACTACTGAAAAAAAACACATTCTAGGCTATGAAATTTACAGCTGTCTGAGGGTAAGTACATACTAAATTGTTCTAGGGGAGAGAATAATGTCTGAATCCTAAGAATGAAAGACTGGCAAATGGCAGCTCTTGTAGATTCTGAGAAGCACACAAGAAGACTTAGAGGCAATCTGAATTTTTGCTTTGTTTGCAGGAATGTATTTCAAATGCATCCTTATAAATAAAGTAACATAAGTACAGTTAGGAGCATTGTTAAATAAAAGCACTTACGTATGGGCATTCACTATTTCAATGCAATCAAACTTCTGCATGAAGTTACTGGCAGTAAGGCTATTTTTTTCCTTGGTGCAAAGACAATGATACAGTTTTCAGCTAATATTCATGGAAAACTAAATATCTGGCTTCCCATCCTCCCCCTATTTAGGACAGTTCTTATTCCAACTCACCTAATAAATTAGAAGCTTCTCTGATTAACATAAAATTATCCTGATTAAAATAACACAACTCAAATTCTCCAACTGTTGGTCTGAAAATGACAGATTTGCCCTACCCTTACTATCTACAACTGTAATTATATTCTTAGTTATGTTCACTTTCAAGTGATTGAGCAGTCCTTAGGGATTTTGTCTACCTATCTTTTACCTAAGTAAGTATGAGAAATAGTACCTCAAAGTGGGTGAGTACACAGACTTCCAATCCCTCAAATAATGTTTCTTAAAACCACATATTTTCCTGCATGGTCCAATATGGCAAAATGGTAGAGAGGGGCTGATGTCACAAACAGCACCTGCTGAAAAAGGAGAATTTCAAAATGTATTGCTTTGAGTTTGAGAAGAAGATGGTGATGAATGAGAAGGGAAAGGAAGTATGGATCAGGAGAAAGGCAGAATGCAGTAATTTCTGTTAACTTTTGTTTCAGTGTTAAGAGCTCTTAGTCTGAGGTAATTACACATATAGAATAACAGAGGAGATAGATGTCTCACTGCAGAGCTTTTTCTAAAGGGGTGAGGAAAGAT